ACTAGAGCTAGCTCTAGTACTATAGCTACACTAGAGCTAGCCACAAGTTCCCATCTCGCTTAACACTACGTGGCGTAACAATCCGTCGGAGAGCCTGGACAGTCTGCAGCCCGCGTGATTTTTTTTCCTAGGTCAATCAAGAACATCGGGCTGTAATAAGCGCTGCTATTGGTTGAGCTTGTTTTCTCGAGATATACATAGCACATCCAAAATTCTTAATTTCAATATGTCGCAGCAGCGTAACGGTTAGCACGCTGGCGCCAAGTATGAATGGTCGCAGTTATGTGAATGTGAATTATTTTCCTGTTTTCTGTATTTTTCTATCTTTATCTGTTTAACGTTTTTTTTCCAATTAACGCAAATATTTACATGATTTATTTACAACATTTTAATAACAACAATTAATTTTTACAACAATTAAAAATTAAATTTTATTAATTTAATAGGGTTAGGGTTAGGGTTAGGTTAGGGTTAGGGTTAGGGTTAGGGTTAGGTTAGGGTTAGGGTTAGGGTTAGGGTTAGGGTTAGGGTTAGGGTTATCGTATATATCGTATAAAATCGTATATATAATATCGTACCAAAAGCAACGGTAGTTATTATTCGCCGATAGATGGCGCTGGCATCACTACCGTGACTTTAAGAGAAAAAAAATCGGCGACGGTACCGTTGCAGGAGACAGCCAAATAAATATGGCCTACCTCGCGACATCAGTGCGGCTATAGACTTGGCAGCGTCGTTCTTCTCGGCTACGTTTAAAATCTTCACCATTTTGGCAGGTGGCTTGCTGCTTAGATACCTTACGAGGCGATAAAACATTTCATTACTGGATACAGGTCGTCTATATCCGAAAACGAAGGCATTTTACTCAGTGAAACTCGCGCCATACTTTAGCGCCAACAAGAATCCATCCTCTAAACCTAGGTAGTGACGTCATTAAAAAGCAGCAGCCAGCAGAAGTAGAATGGCGTAGATACTGAACGTTGTTGTGAAATACACAAGCTAAAATGACGTTTCCATAAACAGTTCAAAGTTAAAGTACAAACCAACGAGTAGATTATTTTCATTAGAATATGCTGAATGACTTTGTAAGGGCATGCATTCAAGGTAAGATGAGTAGGTTTGCAAGATTGCAAGTTAAAATTTTGTTAGTTGTTGTTGTTTACAAGTTAGGCCGTACAGTCTTACGCAAGCGTAATACTAATACTAATAGTAATAGATACGGTAGGCCCTACCTCAAGCGTTAGATGTAACCCAAACACAGGATAGGCCACTTGGGGGTTTATCAGACCTTATCCTGTGTACGCTGTACCTACCTACTTACAACAACACCCTATCCTAGCTGTGTTTGGGTTACATTATTGTATCTACGCAAGCGTGTACATCGTAGGCTAGCTCTAGTACTATAGCCCGCAGGATCGCTGCCGCAGCCTGCGGCAGCGATCCTGCGGGCTATAGTACTAGAGCTAATCGTAGGCCTACTCCTACTCCTACTCCTAGTTTTCATTTTGGCACATACTAGGGCTCATACTCATAGGGTCTATGTCCCCCAGGGTACTGCCGGAACGTACCCTGGGTACGGTCCGGTATACCGGAACGTACCCTGGTCACTATTTGATATGGTTAGGGTTAGGATTAGGGTTGGGTTAGGGTTAGGGTTCGGGTTAGGGAGTAGGCGTAGGCGACTCCCTAGACTCGTTAGTGGAGTAGGCGAGGTACGGTTCGGCATATTAGATAGTACCAGGGTACGTTCCGGTATACCGGACCGTACCCAGGGTACGTTCCGGCAGTACCCCGGGGGACATAGACCCTCTCAGCCATACTATTACTAGGTACACTACAGCATTCGGCATTCACTGTTGTTAACGGCCGGCCCTACGGCTACAGCTATAACAACACATATACTGGGTAATACTTTGTTTGAAATCAATGTAAGTATGTGGGTATAATGTCATTAATGTACACATTCGTCTGGTGCAACAACGCCGACAGTACAGTTTGATTTTTTAATGTTAGACTGAAATTACACAACAGGTTATCCTCGTGTGAGTCGTATTCCTTGAGTCATAATCTTGTATTATTTACGCTGTCACTCTGTAGCTGCAGCACACTTAGCAGTGGTTTACACTGTTCAGTGTTGGTCATCCATCGCTTAATTGTGATAATTAAGTTTACGATCGATCAGTTTATATAATCACTCGGAAGTGTTTCAAAGTTTCGTTCAGTCGTACTGAACAGTATAAGAACTAATTTTCCGTGAGGACAGTTTATGAGTGGAATCACCTTGACTCCTTGAGGAAGCACTCATCTCTGCTGAAGATCCTTTCAAACTGGCGTCAAAACTTGCCACTAACGTCTTTCAGCGCTCTCTCCCACCCGTCGTAATTTGCCTATTGAGGCTTCTCGACGTACTCATCAAGATCAAGATAAAAAATTAAGGCCTCAGCGGTGTGGCACCTTGAACTTGTACTTGTAGTCTTGATAACCACTGAAGACAGAAGTAGGCACTTTTTATGTGATAGTCTACGTAAATGTCGCAACCCTGACGCATGCCAGGTTTCGCTCAAAGTCTTGTAAGTCGACGTCTTCAGTGTGTGCAGATATATATATTACTTTTCTTATGCGACCCTTTGATCCGTTACTGTGGAGGAAGGAGCTACACATAGGTAGGGCTACCTGGTAACATACTGTAAATCTTCATCGGTCTTTATCATTCATTCCCTTCTATTCGCCTTTCACGGTGGTGGAGTTCATGCTTTCTCCAGCCCGTGGATTTTGTGGTGGCTGCTTTGTCATTTGATACGTATGGTCTCCTAGGTGGATCTTAGAATAGTGCTGCATGATTGCTCACGAAGGCAGCTGCCGGACGAAGAAGTCTTCCAACACAGAAAGGACATGTTCTAATCATGGATTATATCATACACCATATATGCCACCATACACCATATATGCCACCATACACACAGTTTACCGTACAGTGAGTGGCAAAACATGCATCACATGTCCACGTGAAGCGATATAGAGAATTCGTTTCCACTGGCCTGTGGCTTTTTCCATTGCCTAGGATAGAAGCCACAGCCTGACAGACTGACTGCTTGCCTGCCTCTAGCGAATCTGAGCCAAAAGTAGAGAATATTTTTGGTCATACTGTGACGTCTGTTGACGTCATTGACATCACTGAGAGGCGATAATGAAACTTTGTAATAGCAAGGTCTGGTTTTCGTAAAAGTAAACCTACACGTATCCCTTCTCTGCCATCTGTCTTTTCCGCACTCGGGGAATTTTCTTTTTATAACCTTTAAACCGCGAGCAAGCTTTAGATGGTCACCAATTGTGAGTGGTTAGTGGTCGAGCCCGGCCGATTGTAGGTGCAGGCACAGTCTACGTCGTTTTCTAAACTCGGACTTCTGTTTCTTGCCTGAGTACTTATGTCTCTTGATCCAACGTTTGTTTGTCTTCTGACGGTTAATTGCCGGATGTTGCTCGTACGTAGACGTGGTTTTAGTGAATGACCATCTGCTGCGGCGGGTAGCGCGCAACCCCTCTGCTGCGTGCCTGTCCTGACATCTGCCAGCGCAACACAGGACGCCAGAAGAGATGCCTCGAGGATGAAGTCGATTGCGCAGCAGTGGCAGTTACACTTAACAGAGCACGCCACTGGTTGTGATGCCACGCCAGTCTCCAGTTCTGTCGGATTAGTGGTCAAGTGCTCTTGACTGATATATTGTTTTGAGTAACCGGACACAGCGTTTGCAGTAGATCAACACGGCTGATAGCTAGGAGGGATAAGAAGGATTGCTTAGGAAGCTAGACGAATTCCTCCAAATGTTGCATACGTAGTGGATCTGTGTAGTCATATATATATGTACGTGATTAAACTTTGAAAAGATTCTCAGAATCTATTAGTTCATGTGATTTCGACGGTCAGTTTCCGTCCAATTGGGACTTTGCTTTGAGAGCGTCCGTCCTTGAGCCAGTGCCTGGCGTGACCCTGATAGCAAGCAGAGAAACTTAGACGTATACACAGTGGATACGTAAATACCATTCCACAAACTTTGGTCGAAAGTAAACACATCTCCATGGAGAACATGTCAGCCGTTCCCCGCGGGAGGTTGGCTCGTGAGCGCTCTCCCTGCGAGCGCTCTCTCCCTTACGAGTAGATGTTAGTGTCACTGATTTAAAGATGCGCCATACATTGAGCGTTTGCTCAATTAGCCGGAATGCCGATGCAGTGAGTGACTGTTTTCGCGAGTGATAAGTGTCGGTAGCAGGCGTCCGCAGAGGTATCTGGGATTACGTTTGTCATGGACGTTGTCGTGGCCCCGCAACAGGGGCAGACTACCGGTGTCGGCGTCGTCGTCGCGACGATGTCCCGACCCGCCGCCTTGCTTTGCCGCATGTCGGAGAGCGTTGCCACGACGACGACGTGCGCCTCACAGCTGCTCGCGGTGATTGTCGTCTGGAGCTCGCGGTCGCTTATTTACGGAATCGACTTTGAATCGGAATTTGACAGCCTGACAGGTAGGCGTTGGTGTGTCGAGACTCTCGAGTGTGATTCAGTGTTTTATTTGTCGAATACGCACATGTACGGTTGTTTGATGTTCGAGTCAGTAGTCTGAATCAGTCATTTAATGATTTATAATTGACTTAAAAATTGCGTTGAACAGTTGATGTGATGCAAAAAGTGTGATCAAGTAAAAGGTAGCGGCGCACCCTTCAATTTAAAATTAATGAAAAACACGACTAATGCATTGCCAGTTTCAACGTTTGATGGGAAGTAATTTGATGCTGTAGGGTTACCATTCTCAACGACGTTTGATTTACGTGTTGGATTCGCAGCTAATGGCTGTGTTTTCTACCAGGCTTGGGGCCTGGCCTAGTGCCTAGTCTAACTAATTAGTAATTGACTGTATGGTGGAAAAACAACTACTAGCACTTCTGGACTACCACCCTCTATTCCTCGTTTATTGTTAAATTTTCCTTAGCTTTATTATTTTCTCCCTCTCTATCTCTCTCACTCTCTCTCTCTCTTCTCTTCCCCTCTTCTTCCCCTCTCTCAGTTGGTTTCTGTTACTCGGTATGTCTGTGTGTGTGTGCGTGCGTGCATTTGCGTGTGCGTGCGCGTGCGTGTGCGTGCGTGCATGCGTGCGTGTGTGTATGAGCGTTTCTGGTTCGTGCGTGTATGTGTACATATAAATGCATGTGGAACATTTTTTCATGAGCCTTGAGCTAGTTTACTGAACCCTGGCAGTATCAGTGTCGTGTTGCATTTCGCAAACAGCCGGCAGAAATAGCACTGGCCTACTAAAGTACATCAAGCAGGCTTCACATGCCCTAGCAACGAGCAAGTTGTAGCTCAAAGGCTATGCGCAGATCGCATTTATTTTCGATACTGCCTGCTTGCAGTTTGCTAGCTTGATGGTATGTGCACAATTTGTTCAAAATTGTTTAGTGGCCATTAGATCGCAACGGAAGTGTTTTATTTCTGCTTGAACTACGAATTTCTGGTGCAACAAGCTTATGCCAACTTTGCAAACATATGTTGTAAGTGGTTTAAATGTTTACTGAGGTTTGCTCCAGGCTGTATGCTGGTACAAGCACAATGTCGAATCTATTTCGAGTTGTAAACACAAACAAAATGGTCTTATTGCCGGAGAGAATTTTTCCTATATGTTGATCAGGAGGTGAATAATGAGAGAATAATGACATTATTTGCGTTTGATGTCAATCATGAATACAGCTAGCAACAATACCAGGTGGTGTATTGGCAAAGCTGGTATCATACATAAGTTAAACTATTAGCAAATCAACCGATCAAGAGAAAAATTAAGAAATATTTGATACTGTTTATTTTGATGTTTGTTTACTTTTTTTTCTATTTTTTAAAAGACTGCCTAGAAAACTGTTACATGCTTACCAATTCCGTGGAAGCATTGCTAAGGCTAAAGCATTAGTTGTTCAATGTTGCAAGGAAACGTTGTTAAGCATTTATTGTTTATTGTTGTCAGGAAACAATGCTAAGCATCTATTATTCACTGATGTTGGGGAAACGTTGCTGGGAATCTGCTGTTTACTGTTTTCAGGAAACGTTGCTAAGGTAGCAGTAGCTGCGACAGCAGCAGTTTTCCTTGGAGTCCGATTGCTTTCACAACGGTCACAGAAGCAGATCGACTTCACGTGAGTGGATTTTGTTAGTCACATCCATGGGCACGCACGCATGCACACACGCACACGCAATTCTATTAGTGGTACAGACGTGAACAGTGACCTGTGGTTGCACCTTCCCTATCTGCTGAATCAACCTGCAGTGCAGGAAAGCTACCACTGCACACCCATGTTGTGTATATGCGTGTATCATGTGTCAACGTGATGACAGGAGCAGCAACGCTCATGCAGCGCTGGCTGTCGTGAATCCGTGTGCGTCGTTAAATTTGCCCCAAGGCTACTGCTGCTGCTCATTCAGTCAACACCCCATCGTCATTGCATCATTTTATATATATATATAGTGTTGTCAATCGGTTGTAATTTCGTAATCGATCATCGGTTGGACCCAAGTAACCGATGATCGGTTACAATCGGTTACTCGGGGTGTTGAATGCCTGCGTGTGCTAGAGAGAGAGAGTGAGAGAGAGAGAGAGAGAGAGAGAGAGAGAGATATACCAGAGATACGCCAGTGCAATTACAACTGTGTTGCGTGGTAGTGCGCCATTCATTGACTATGCATACATATCTTTCTCCCAATGCTACGGTAGTGCAAACCCATATTTACACCAAAAATGCCATCTACTAGTGAAATATTAAAATATGACCTCAACACGCCAGTGCACTTACAACTGTGTCGAGTGGTAGAGGGCGCCATTTGCTTTTATTCTTACTTTGTATGTCCACTACCTCTGCAGTAGGGTCCTGAAAGTAAACAATGCCTTATTACCTCTGTGATTCGGTTAGGCAGTAGGTTAGTATAGGGTTATGGTAGCGGTTAATACGGTTAGGGTTAGGGTTACAAGCCCGGAGGTTATGATGACAGTTTATGTATGGTGGTCACTCTGCGCCAAATTCCCAGCGAATCTTGTCATTGCAACGCACCTCCATGCAGATCTGGTAGAGCACGAGGCACGCCCTGTGGTCGAACAAGCGAACGCGCTTCCAGACAAACTCGACGCGCCCGTCGTTGTCGTCGTTGTCGTGCCGCACGGCGATCTTCCAGAACGGCTCGGGAACGAACGCCTGCACCTGCTTGTAGCGCTCCACGACGAATCCGAGCGTCGGGAACTGGCAGCTACCGTAGCTGATCAGCTGGTCGGCGAGCACGTGCGGAAAAACGCGCTGCAGCCGGAGCGTCTGCAGGCGCGTGAACGCGGCGCCGATGCGCAGGTCCAGCTCCGAGCGCACGTCGACGGCGGCGCTGGCGAGGCGGTCGGGCGCCACGAGGTCTCGCGCGGCGCTCGCCACCGACTGCGCCGTTATCTCGGAGAATCGCGCGCGGTAGACGCGCAGGTTCGGCCGCACGGCGAGGCACACGTCAACGACCTCGCAGCCTATGTTCTCGCCCTCGCGATCGCAATCCGTCCAGATGATGAGGCTCTGGCAGCCGCGCACCTGCGAGAATGCATACATTGTGACGACTACCCTTGCGTGAAGCGGCGAACCAGAAAAAACAACAACGATAACAACAACACTACCATCAGAAACAACTAAGAAAACACGATGAAGACCGAAATTGTTAATATATTTTTACCCAACTATTTTACTCTAACATTAAAGTCCTGCCACTTCTGCAGACATTCTCTGCAGCCTTCTCCTGCCACTTCGTACAGTATGATTATCTCAAACATCATCCTAGAATCACGGCGTCACAAATTATAAGTGAGATGCTGGGTCTTCGTAGTTGTACAAATGACTGCTATAGCTCCCATTAGTTCGCTTCACCCATGCCACAACTAAAACCATGAGAAGCTTAGATCAAAGATCACCTCTCGCTCCAGCGTGCGCTTGATGTCGACGTAGTTCTGTGGGCAGGACTTGTGCAGGGGCGCGTCAAACAGGGCGACGGGAGGGCAGCCCGTCCACCGCCGGTACTCGCCCGTAAACTCGTGGTTGAGCAGGTGACCTGACACCGACGTCATCACCATGTTGATGTTGTGCTGGCCGAGTATGTCGTACTGGAACTCGTAGATCTTGTTGAAGCGAGAGAAGCCGTCCCTGCGTCGCATCGTACCTATTGCAATGTAAATAAGTGTGCTAGTCATACTTTTTGTGTATAGATCCTTGGTAGTTATCTAGCTTCATGAATTCAAAATATATTGTAAAAGTATGCTATGTAATAAAATACAAATATGGCTACGTATCAATCTATCATGGATAATTACCTAAATAAATAAGGCCGTGGCTACGCGACCGGTTCTGGACGAGGAGCCGCTAGGCTAAACAATGCTAAGCATCTATTATTCACTGATGTTGGGGAAACGTTGCTGGGAATCTGCTGTTTACTGTTTTTAGGAAACGGTTGCTAAGGTCAGTAGCTACAAGCAGCAGTTTTCCCTTGGAGTCCGTTGCTTTCACAACGGTCCACAGAAGCAGATCGACTTCACGTGAGTGGATTTTGTTAGTCACATCTATGGGCACGCAGCGCATGCACACACGCACACGCAATTCTATTAGTGGTACAGACGTGACAGTGACCTGTGGTTGCACCTTCCTATCTGCTGAAGTCAACATGCGTCGTGAGGAAAGCTACCACTGCACACCCATGTTGTGTATATGCGTGTATCATGTGTCAACGCAAATGACAGGAGCAGCAACCGCTCATGCAGCGCTGGCTGTCGTGAATCCGTGTGCCTCGTTAAATTTGCCCCAAGCTACTGCTGCTGCTCATTCAGTCAACACCCCATCGTCATTGCATCATTTATATATATATATATAATATTATATATATATATTATAATATATATATATATATATATATATATA